GCAATGTGCCATGTGCCAAACTGGGTCGCCTATCGGATGTGAGGATTCAGGCAGTTGAAATGTGATGTTATGATGGTGCCATTTGTGAAACATCGGCTGTGAAGGGCTTGCCATGTTGCGTTTTGCTTGCTGCGTGGTTGTGTTTTCGTTTCGGGGCCTGAAACTGTGAGTACCGTGAAAGGCTTGTGGAAGCAAACAGCAGGATAGCATCTCCTTTTTCGACTTGGTGTTAGGCATCTGACATTGAACTCGAGGAACTGGATTCTGAGCTGGTGCCCTGACCTGCTTTCACAATGCTTTGTCTTGACCAAAAGTTGTTGCTTGTGTTTACTCCACCGTCTCCTCCGTTGTAGTCTGCTAATCTTCTTGTTAATTTCCTCTTCGGTGCCTGCATCATCCGGTACACGTTCGTACATGTTTGCAGAATCTTCCAATGCCTCCTTGTGCTTCCTTGCTCGCCTTACTGTAAACACCCGTAGGGGAACATTGCAATGAGGTGAAACTACTCTACCATGTGGATGCAAAGAAATGAAAACTGAAACTACAAACATGAGAGATCTGCATGATCATAGTGTCAGCCCTTCAAGTGGGACAAGCGCACCAAAGCATGTAAATGGTAACTAACTCTGAAAAAAACAGGGTATCGGTTAGTATCGGCTGAGTTGTCCGTAAGAGTTCCCTCACTTCTGTGCGCCATTCCATGGCGTAAGCACCCACACACACGTGATGAGACCAGTCAACCAAGAGAACACCCAACTGTTGCTCATTATATAAATGAAACGTCACCGGCAAAGTCACTTGACAATGGTGTGATAGCCCTTGCAATATTCCCCACTAAGGTCCAGAATGACTCATATTGAAAAGCACCTCGGATTCAAACTCACCGCCAACAAAGCAGAAAAACAACCCAAACAATCTTGGTAGGTATAGGGGTATCGGTGCTGGGTCGTCCCCTATCGGTTGCCAAGAATTTCTTCACTTCTCTAAAAGCACAAGGCGGTCTCTTACATATTTAGTATTCCAAAAATTTTGTCGGTTGCTCATGTAACCTATTTGTGGATTGTTGTTGTGGCAGCGGTATATATAAAGATAATATAGGTGTGTCATGTTTTCTGAGATTGTTTTCTCGGAACTCTTTTTTTTATTATTGGTGGGCCTAGTTGACAGTTCAAGGATTCAGTTTAGCGATGCCCGAAAAGGGTAGCCAAAATCAGTAGGGCCCCGGCCAACCCGCAGCCCCAACACGTTGGGGTTTGTAAACATGTTGCCTGCCTTTCAGACGCTTGACAGCATCATATTGGAGCTCAAGCACACAGCAAATCATACATTTGGAAACCATTTGGAACAAAAACTAATTTAAACGGAAATCATTAGGCATCAAAACGAATTTGCCACAGATCAGGAACCAAAAAGGAATTCAATAAGAAATCAACAATTATATATGTTTTTAAAGGGAATTCAAACATAGACATAATGAAATTACACCGGCATAGACCCCAAATAATAACTATACAGTTAGAAATACACCTGTAAAGACAAAAAGCGCCTGGAACAAAAATCCATTGAGCATTGAGTAGCCAAATAAAACCAGAGAAGCGGGGAAACAAGTCAGGAGTCAAGGTAGCAGCAAAACAAAACACCGATCAAACAAAACAAGTGGGGAGACAAGGCAACAGCAGCAAACAAACACGCAGACAAGTGGGTAGACATGTAAGGAGACAGCGACAAACAAAACGCCGATCACACAGGCAACTAGACATGTAATTGTATGTAATTGTAATAGGCAATAGGAGACAAGTGGGAGACAAGGCAGCAGCGGTGCAGCAGCGGCAAAACAACACGGCGATCACATAGGTAAATAAGTGGGGAGTCAAGGCAGGAGCGGCACAGCAGCCGCACAATTCAGCGGCAAAACCAAAACGGAATACAGGCACCCAGTCATTGAGAAGTAAGAGCCCCTATGGCTATCGGCTTTCGCTATCTGGGGAAAAATAAAAAGCGTAGAGTAGGGGATGTTGTTATCAAAATCATACCAGAACAAAAGTGCAAAAATCGTAGAGGGGGCAATATTATTGAAACATCGAGTTCAAAAATGGAAAGGTGTAGGCAATAATCCAGGGGATGCCATTATTAAAGCCAAAGTTGGCAAACTTTATTGTATTACTCTTTTTTGTCGATATTATGTGTTTTGTATGTTTAAACTAGTTTTAAACATGTTGTCTTTTCCCGTTGGAGGTAGATACAGTTGGTGCCACATTGGCATTTTCTGATGCATGTTGCACATTATTGAAGTGGGCAGCAAATGCAAGTGATTAGAAACTGCATATTACTAGGGGCTTGGCACATTGACATGCAACATACACTGTAATCTACATGCTTTTTAGCATATTACAATGGAACATTTACAGAACCTTGGGACCTTGGAAGTCCCCAACAAATTACACTGAGGTGGTACATGTTACTCAAAACAAGGCAGATTTACAAACACCAATGTCTTGAAAGAGTCTTGAAGCCACTTCACCAACAAAGAAATAGCAGCCAAGAGTCGAATCAACATGTCAAAGGGCAGTCCAAGTTCCTCCTAGAGCTGTCAATGTAACACATGAGTCGCACAAACGAATCATAAATGTCTTGTAGGATTTGTTAAGGAAAAGTGGATCCGAAGCCGTTTGTCATGTCCTTGTCATTTAGCCATAAAACCTGCACAAGTGAATGAGCCAGACGAAACAATCTGTGACTCTGTGACTCGTACGATATCATGTGAAACGCACTCAGCAAAAATCAGCCAAGGCATTGCCTGATAGCCTTCACTTTCCAAGCAAAGCTGGGCGATCCTCTCTCCATCCCTTCCGACCGCCTCTTTATTGCCTTCCGAACGTTCTCTCTTAACCATCCAAATGGAGTTTTCAACAGATTCTCCTACCAATAGTGTACAGTGGCAAAAGAAGCGCAAGAGTCAAGATATTGACCAAGAAAGTGATTGTCTCGTAATGTGGACCTTGATCCTGACCATCTCCCCCTCTGAGTGGGATCGATGTGCTCGAGAGCTTGATGTCAAAGGAGCAAACAGAAGGCTCGCCGACCTTTCCAGGTTTCTGGAGTTGGCATGATCGTGTGAGATGACTTGTGAAAACCGCTTGTCCATTAAAGTGCATAATATTTCACCATGCCCTGCCTTGTCTGGGACAAAAGCCGGGAGGGTGCTGAAATTGAAATCCTTCGGACGTGAACGGCTCAACTTGTCCAGGTCTCTGGGATCCTTAGCTGCCTTAGCCGCAAAGTACAGCGAACTTTGCAAAATCAGTGATGACGACACGCCTGCGCAATAGGCTGGAACCGAGGCACTCTGCGGTCAGATTCTGTCTGCATCTCCTGCATACGACATCCCACCTCGTCCACCTCACCCCAAATAGAGAGCGAAAGGGTAGATGCAGGTAGATCCCACTAGAAAGAGTCTGTGTACATGCAGGTCCACTGCAGGGGGTGGTGGGCAATCTCACAAACATTACTCAACGAAATCACTTCCAGTGTGTCATGACATGGAGTGCGGAGGCAGACTCAAGTTACCCATGCCTGAGTGAAAGCATACGCATACTGACACATATTGTATGTATATTAAATAAATATATATATATAATATATATATATAAATATATTTATATATATGTATGTAGAGAGCGAGAGATGTGCGCATGATGTAATATGATGCACGCCATCAGCTTCAATGAAGGTTGTCAAAACGTTCCGTTTGACGCATGTGTCACAAGCAAACAGCGAAAGCGGCACTGTTTGATCGAGGACAGAAAGGAACCATCACAAGAGCAGAGCAGGTCCAAAGGCAGCACCCGGCACAACCTCAATCACCTCGTCATCCAGGATTACTGTTGGGATGAATGAAGGACCAGACTCGAAACAAACCCGTGCACCACCTAAACATAAACTGCGTGAGTCAGAACAAGACAAGCATCCACAACAAACAGAAGTCACGTCGAAACCCAATTGCTCAAGTGGGAGGGAAGAACAAGTTTCGCAAAATTATTTCCGCACCCTGAACAGTTTATAATGATAACAATGATAACAAGTTTTCTTTCGCCCACGGTGCTTTTATTTTACAGATCTGCTTACTTGTTCTATTATTCTCTGCTGACGCTGTCCTTTAAAAATCCTTGCTTAACTCTTCTGAGGTGTGCTCAACTCATGGAACTCTGACCTGAAAACCTTGTTCATGGCCCCAAACCATTGAAGTCAAGGCCACCACCCCATGTGTCAAGGAAGTGCCCAAGGCGCGAGAAGATCTAGTGCAGCAGCTGACACCAGGCTGAAGCCTTAAGTCTGAGCTGTGTTCGAGCCGGCAAGGCAGGCCGCACTTTGGTCGCTCGACCAGCTCGTCGTAGAGATGAGCAGTGCAAAGCCGCTTTTGGCCAGGGAGCTGCGGTGCGGAGCAGAAAGAACTGCGGAAAAAAATGAGATAGCGCAAAACGGTGAGGTGTAAGACCAAAAATCCTGATGAGTTATATGAGAACACATGTGATAATTAGAATATGTGAGATGCATCAAAACATGCTTGCACGCCATTGAAAGAGCACTTTGCTCAGGTGTGTGTGATATTATAGCACTCTTGTCAACAAGGTCCTTGTCCGCAACGTAGTATGGCAGGTTTGGGGACAACAGCGATTTGTGCAGAGTGTCCAGTTGGCTCTGCACCTGGCTGGCCCATATGGCAAGGTCAACAAAAGGAGAGATGATGAAACACATAAATAATTGAGAATTGAGAAGATGAATTTTCCTATGTTTTCTTATTGGGTAAGGAATTGCAGCCGGCCTCAGGTCCTTCAGGCGTCTGCTGGTCCGGCCTCCAACGATGACTCATTATGTTGATCAATGTTATCAATGTTGCAAATGTTGGAATCCATCTGCTGCGGTGGCATCTGCTGTCATTGTTTTAAACAAAAGTTGAAAGCCTCTAAGGCTTACCTTGCCCTACTCCAACAGCACTGAGTTTATGGCTGCTTTTTGCTCTTTTGGCGCTTCCGCTTGTAGTTCAGCCTGCGAGGGGCTCAACTCAGCAACATTCTGAACTTGAGGCAGGCACAGCCAGTGAACCGCCAGCAATAGTCACCGAAGGACAAGCACCAGTTCCAGCGAAGTGCTGACAAGCTGCGCATGCTCCGCATGCTCCAGCAAGTCCTCCACGGCTGAAATGTCACCTTCATCTGGATCAGCTTCATCTGTCAAGTCATCTACACCACTTCCCCAGGATTCGTAGTAGTCTTCATCCTGCGTGCAGTCCAAAAAGGCAAGTATACTGAGAGCAATCTACGTGCTCGCAGCCTCACTGCACGGTCCTCTAAGTCCTTGAATTCCTCTTGAAGTGTCAAAAACCTGACTGAGGACAACTCTGCACTATAATTGCCCCGAATGGAGTTTGGATGAGTTTGGCGTGCATATGGTCGAAAAAAAATCAAGAAATACTGTATAAGGAGCCGTTGAAGGAGTATACACGCGGTGAACAGGGCCAAGATTGTCCAAGTGGGGCTTGACTCCAAGTGGCTTTTCAAGCTGCTCCATGGGAACGACCATGTCATCCTGAGGCTGACTAGTCACCGGCGCCAGGGCATGCGGGCTCTGATCCTTCAGACTGCACAACGGATGCGATGTTGACCACAAGCCAAGGGCGTTTCTAGCTATTGTGGCAGTTGGTTGTGTCCTTGTAGCCTCGCTCATCAGCTGAACTGGAGCCTCTGCAGAAATCGATCATGTGACTACAGTGGATCTCTTCGGCGGAACCCTCAAACATTTGTTGCGCATGATGGCGTTCCATGCCAAACTTCCGGTGTGCAACCTCCACAACTTTGTTGCAAATCTCTCAACATAAGAAAAACAAACATGCCACATACCCCTGCTGGATCACACGCCTGTTTCAGCTTTAGTCGCTTGAATCGCCATCCGTAGCTGGCCCACGAAGGTTCTTGCTTTGTTTGTGAAGCCGTAGTCGCCTTGTGTGCGTGCGCGCGAGAAAACAGAATCAAAAGCGTCTGACCTGACAATAGACTCCCTACGAAGGCATCTGCCAGCGTGAAACTTTCAGAACATAACAGTTTTACTCTTATTGTTTGTGTCTCAGCACGAGGCTTTGCCGAAACTGTGCTTGATCTTCAGGTGAAAGTTTCTTCACTGCAATCCACAGCAACGCCTAAACACTTGCAAACCATCACAAACAAGGAACGCATTCACTCCTCAACTCCTACAAACGCTTCCAGGAAAACCAACGGTGGGCCTTTGCGAGTTTCTCGCTGATGTTGTTCATCACCAGCTGACCCGGCAGGAAGGCCAGGAACAACTTTCCATCCTCAGGGATGACAACAAACAGCCCTGGCCAAGAGAGCCTTTAAAGAACTATTGCTGAATTTCCCTCCCTCACCTCGTGGCCGATGAAAAAAGGTTCTGCAAACAGGGCCTTGATCCTCGCCAGGGGTCAAACGAACGGGGGACCCCAACCATGAAATTATCTTGGCTTGACCCTAAGATTGAAAAAGGCCCTGTGTGTGTGTGTGTGTGTCAACACCTGTCTCTAAGGAACTTCACTTGTGTACAAAGCAGGGGACCAGGCAGGATACACCGTCGCCTGGTCAACGAAGCTGGCGATGTATCCGAGGATATGGAAATGGGATGCCACTTCCATGCACCTGCAAACTTTTAACCTCCTTTACAGGGCTAGTGCACTTTTGTTAAACCTTCTGTTGAACCGACCCAGCACTTCCTGCAGTTGATTCAAGTCAAGGTCTAATTGCGTGTAAAGGTCTGCTGGCAGTAAACTGGGACTTCGTCAACTGATTCTGCTCTTGCGAGCCTTTTGCTAAGTGTGTATCGCCACAGAGCCCCACTGAGGGCTGTGGTGTGATCCCCAGCGAGGGGCGCGGCATGTGCACATAAGGGTGATTCCTCGGACTGCACGTGATTTTCGTCGGCTCTAGTGTTCTGCTGGAGATTGCTGATCATACGCCGCAGGGCTTACTGAAGCTTTTTCCAAAGAATGACATACCATGCTGCTAGGTAGTCATAGGGTGTAGGCTTTGCTGCTACGTATTCATTTTTCGGTTCTTTCCTGCCTGCGGTTGCTCTTCGTTTTCTAGGTCTTTTCTCGTTTTCTAAAGACTTTTTAGGTGTAACTGAAGCCTTTTAGTCACACGCGCGCCGGTTTCGGCTTCTTGTCAAATGCCTTCCGGCCTGCAACCCCTCCCCCCCCACCCCACACCCCTTGCACCCTTTGCTTGAGCTTTCCTTCAAGCTTTTTAGGTCGGCGTTTAGGCTCGTTTAGTCAACGCACGCCCTACGTACACCGCCACTCCCCCTGCAGCCTTTCCTTTCTTTCCTTTACTGTTCTTTCCTCTTTCGTTTGTTTGTTTCTTTTCTTCAGGCTTGTTAGGTTGACTTTCAGGCTCGTTTAATCAACGCACTTTTTCCGCTTCCCCCCCCTCCCGCGGAGCCAAAACGAGAATGCGCCGATCCGGCCTTTTGTGTGCGTCAACACCTGTCTCTAAGGAATTTAACCTGTGTACAAGCAGGGGGCCAGGCAGGATACATCGTCGCCTGGTCAACGAAGCTGGCGATGTATCCGAGGATATGGAACCCTATAGATCAGCTGAGGTTAAAAACAACCTCTGTGGTTATTTTGTTTCCTGAGGTTAATTCTAACCTCACTGAGGTTATTCTTAAGAATAACATCTGAGGTTATTCTTAAGAATGCCCTCGCAGTTTCTGCTGTCAAGACACTTGTTTTTGCTCATGCCCCCCCTAACGGCCCCGGAGAATTTCCACATTTTCACCGTTACCCAAGGTGATACTACGTTGGGGATGGGGTGGGGTCTGTTAACATTCGCTTGCGCTTGCAAACCAAATTGATGCTACGTTGGGGATGGGGTGGGGATGGGTTGGGGTCTGTTAACATTCGCTTGCACTTGCAAACCAAGTTGATGCTACGTTGGGAATGGGGTGGGGATGGGGCGGGGTCTGTTAACATTCGCTTTTACTTGCACACCAAGTTGATGCTACGTTGGGAGATGTTGTGGCACACATGAATCAGAACTACTTGGGGAAGTGAAAGCCTGCATTATTCTTTGCATGGGGAAATGAAGAATGTGCTATTCTTTGGAAATTTCAATCCCACATATTTGTTTCTCTTCTCTGTGGCATCAGGGTCTGTCATAATTCAGGAAAAGGAACATGAAGAGGAAAAGGAAAAGGAAAAAACAAGGAAAAGGAAAAGGAAAAAGGAAGAGGAAGATGAAAAAAATACATGGAAACGGAAAAGTTGAAGAGGAAAAGGAAGAGAGAGAGAGAGAGGAAAAGGAAAGGGAACATTTTTGGGGGGGAGTAGGAAAGTGCGGAATCAAAATCTAAAGACTAAACTGTGGGCAAAAGTTTTTTGGTGAGGAGAGTTGAGGAAGCAAAATCTAATGCCTAAAACTGTGGACAAAATTTGTTTGGTGAGGAGAGTTGAGGAAACACAATCTAATGACTAAAACTGTGGGCAATCTTTTTGGGGTGAATGAACGTAAGAAAACATAATCTAATGAATGAAACTGTGGGCAAATTTTTTTTGGGAATCTAATGACTAAAACTGTGGCCAAAACTTTTTGGGGTGAATGAAAGTGAGGAAACAAAATCTAATGAATAAAGCTGTGGGCAAAGATTTTTGGTGAGGAGAGTTCAGGAAACAAAGTCTAATTACTAAGTCATTAGATCTGCTTCCTTAATTTCCCTCACCCCAAAAAGATTGTCCACAGTTCTAGTCATTAGATTTTGTTTCCTTTCTCTCACCCAAGAATTTTGTCCACAGTTTCGGTCATTAGATTTTGTTTCCTGAACTCTCCTCACCAAAAATATGCGCCCACAGTTTTAGTCATTAGATGTTGTTTCCTCAACTCTCCTCACCAAACAAATTTTGTCCACAGTTTTAGTCATTAGATTTTGCTTCCTCAACTCTCCTCACCAAGAAACTTTTGCCCACAGTTTAGTCTTTAGATTTTGTTTCCGCACTTTCCTTCTCACCAAAACAACATGTTCCCTTTCCCGTTCCTATTCCTTTTTTCCTTTTCCTTGTCCTTTTTTAATCTTCCTTTTCCTTTTTCCTTTTCATGTTCCTTGTTTTTTTCCTTTTCCTTTTCCTCTTCATTTTCCTTTTCCTTTTCCTCGTCCTTTTCTTTTTCCTTTTGTTGTTTTTGTTCCTTTTCCTTTTTTCCACACATAGAAGACAAGAAAGTTGCAAACATTTTGTGGTTGTTATACATGGAACCCAGGCTAGTCCTTTGCAGTTATGTGTAAGCATTTGGGTTTTTGGCTGAAATGTTGGAGTTATTTGTAAAGATTTGGAACTTTTTGCTGAAATATTGATGGCTGGCTGTACATTTTTGTTAGCTATTTGACAAACTATTTGATGTTAATCATACTGGAAGCCCCAAGTTTTCAAATAGATTTCCAATGGTTTTGAGGTTATTCTTAGACATAACCTCAAAGTTATTTTTAAGAATATATAACCTCAAAAAATAACCTCAAGAACTTGAGGTTATTCAATTGTTGAGGCTATTTTTTTGGAATAACCTCAGAGGTTACTTTAAACCTCAGCTGATCTATAGGGAAATGGGACGCCGTTTCCACGTACCTGCAATTTTTTTATCATCCTTGACAGGGCTAGTGCACTTTTGTTAAACCTTCTGTTGAGCCGACCCAGCACTTCCTGCAGTTGATTCAAGTCAAGGTCTAATTGCGTGTAAAGGTCTACTTGCAGTATATAAACTGGGAGCCTTTAGCTAAGTGTGTGTCAAACCCTGTTCCAAAGGGCCCTTCTCTCACACACTTCAGACTGTTCACTGGTCACTTTTACTGTAACCATACCTAATATGCAGGGGGTGCCAGGATGCACACTGGAACGAAGATGGCATTCGTGAAATCGATCCGGGACGCTGGAGTGATGTACCTGCTTCTGATGCGGTGATCAAAAAACATTGTTTACCTGGTATCCTGCCGCTCTTGGCCCTTTTTCAAGGTCTGTTTCCAGGTTTTGAGGTCCTCTTTGCACTAGATTGGTGATGCAGTAAAGAGCTAGTGCATAACGAAAGACCACTAAATGTCGCTTTACTGAGTGACGTTATTTTATATTAACCACTTAGCATATCTCTGATTGTTTTGCAAAATATAAAACACAACAACTACAAAACGCAAAAGCCCAAAAAGCAAAAAAGCCAAAGCAAAAAACAAATGAACATGCAAACGCGAAAAAACACCAAAAAAAAGCAACAAAGAAGCAAATGCAAAAGCAAAAGCGAAACACAAGTCTCCCCGAAAGGCGCCAAAACGAAACAACGCAAAGAAAAACGAAACAACGAAAGGCACACAAAAACAACAAAAATACAGGAACGCAGCAACAAATGCGAACAAAAACGAAAAAATGCTAAACAATGATGCCCACCAAAATAGGCCGCCACCATTTGTTTTTTCACTTGTTCATTCTTGGATTTGTTATTTGCTTTTTCATTTGCTATTTAGTTATTGTTGTTTCATTTGTGTTTTTTGTTTTTTGGATTTGTGTTGTTTTTGATTGTTTGTTTCGTTTATTTTGTTTTTTGATTTTTTCAATATTCTCAGAGTTAGCCTGGGTCTGGCGAACACAAGCGTTACTTTTTGTTGCGTGTGCCTATGTGTGTGGAATCCCTCGCCCACGTCCGATGTTTGAAGTAAGTGCAGATGTGCCATGGCCATACAGGGCCTGGCTATGGGCACCGCGCTGCCACCATGAGGCTTGAACTCCAGCAGCCTTGGAAGCTGAATCTATGCGCCCACGCAATCGGCATCTCTTGAAGAGGGGCAAAGGAAACCGTATGTTGTTACAAAATGATAAAAGCATCAAACAGCGCCAGCTTAGCGTTCCCAGCGCCCCACAACACAAATAAGCTCCCAGCGAGCGAGGCATACCCTTATATGCATCCAATGTATCGACGTCAGCTTCTTTTGCCCGGTCTCCATCGATGACCAGGACCTCACACGACCAAATCAGCTGCGCTAGACTTGGCGACTACATGTAACGTGCGCATAGCACCTGGTCGAGTGAGAGCTTTTGTACTTCCTCTATGCGGAGGGCATCTTCAACAACCCTCTCGATCTCTTCAAAAAGAGCCCAAGAGGATCGGTCATCCTCAGCCGTTCAAAACGCTGGAAGCTTAGCTCAGCCGGGCAACCAAATCAAGTGGGGTAGTTTGGCACCCTCAGCAGTCCAATGTCACAATCAATGCGTCACAGGCACTTTCAATCTCTCTGAGCTGTCCCGAATCACGCGAATTGCCTTCGCCCAATCCTTTCTCAGAAAGTCAAAGCCGCCAGTTGCCTGGATTGTGAGTCCGAATGCTAGGTTGGCCAACAAGCAAGGCGGTGTTTACTGAGTCCAGCCATCACAAATCCAAGTGACACGAATTTCACAAACCGAACCATGGACTAGCGCTTGGAAGATTATAGGGGCACTTTGTCCTATTTGTTCCTGACATTCCGGCCAATCAAATGCTGCTCAGTATAAGTATAAAACAAAAATATATATACAGTATACACTAAACTGTACAGTATACAAACCCTCGAGTCATCTGGCCTCCAAGGGCACAAAGGAGGCTCGCTTTAGCAAAGTGGGCGAGTCTCCTTGGTTCGCTTGCGCGCAACCCTAGGTGCGCTTAAGCAGCATGTCACTGTGGGCTAGTGTGGTCACAATCCTCTCACGCCAAATGTGGCGAATGTTAAGTCCACTGAACTCCTGGAGTGAAGTGCACTTTTGGGTGTACTGTGACACCGTGGTGTTTTGTGACCTGCTCACCTCACGCAGCTATTGGGGTGATGTGCAATTGTCGAATCGCACACCCTGCGCACAGCCCATTGGCACATAGTGCGCGCCTCACTCAGACTTGCCATCCTGCGCTCACAGGGCAAGTTTCTCACGCATTCCCGCAAGAACAAAGCATCTTGCACACCACAGCTTGAGGATTGATTCTTTTCGCCCGTAGCTTCGGTGTTGCTGCAGATGGGGTAAAGGAAGGGCAAGACGAGTTTGCTGCAGTGTAATCGATCCACGCAGTCAATCAGGATGACAGGGATGAAGTTCTTCTGCATCAGAAGCGACGGCTGCGAATGTAGAGAAATCAGAGAAGCCTGCATTGTTTACTAGCGTCAGGCTGAACTATGTCATTGCAAGCATTGAACCCTTAACAGAGACATGCTCTACGGTGAGTGGTTGCTTCCTGGTGGGTCTTTGCTGTACTTTGGGTTGCAGGCGTAGAGATGTAGAATATTTTGCGTGATTCCAGACGCTGCGTAAACTTTGTGAGTATATCCTTTCGAAGTGTGTAGCATCTCTATGCCGCGTAGGTCTCCAGACTGGCAACGAACGATTGCTGCGCGAGGCGGTAAGTCACAGTATAGGGACACATGATCAAACTTCAGTGATGCTTTATTGAAAACCCACGTCGGGGGGGGTAGCTGGCTGACGTCAGCTACAACTCTGCAATATTAGTTTTGTAAGCCACACCCATCCATGAGTGTCTGCGCTATCGAACTCAAATCGAATGTCTTTGAGTGCATTGCGTGGCAAAGTCAACGCGTGCGTTGTGCTGGCAATGGTTGTCGCATATCTGAAGGTAGTTAACATCGCTCTGCTGCGCCACCACAGCAGGGTCGTCATCTGTGCTTGCACCCCGCGCGAACAGGAAATGTCTGCAGCATGTAGGTGCATCGGATGTTCTGTGTATACTTGGAAGCTTTGATGCTTGCCTGTGGGTAGGGATGCAGTGTTTTGCTCAATCGTGGGGTCCATTGCACATGTGGCTGGTGCCGGGTTTGGCCCTCAGCCACCTTCCACGTGTATACTACCCATTGATTTAAGACACGTACAAGTGCGGGCTTCGCCGTCTGGCACGCGTGGAGCAAGTTCAACAACAAGCTACGCTGGGGACGATGTTCTGGAAGCTTTTGCCACCATGAACGCAACCAATGTCTATCCGAAAGCTCTTCTTCACTTTTTGCACCATCAAGCCACGTGGAAATTCAGCTTCTATCCTGCAGAACACTATAGCGCAGGCACGGTGGTGCACACGGTTCTGCAGTTATACAGTTCAAGCAGCGATGCTACATGGACAGAGCGGCAGCAGTGTAGCGATCTTTCAAGCAGTAGCAGCAGCGATGATCATAATTTACCCCTCGCACGAATAGTATGCGAACTGAGTGGCGAAAAAAGCGCGAGCTTCTCAAATTCTCTGTGCAATATATGTTCGCCCCCCTACTCATCACATTCATCCTCCTGCTGTGCTTTCGGGCCACCCTGTCGTCATCTGTCATCTAGATTCTGCTTCTTCTTCTGCTTATGACTCTGCTGCTTATTCTTTGCTGCAGCATTTTTTGTGCGGCTGTTTCATTGTTCTTCTGTTTCTTCGTTGCGCTCATTCTTCTTCTCCTCCCTTATCCTGCTTGCTCTGCACCTTCATGTTCTTCTTACTCTGCCTTTTTCCTGCTGCTTCTTCTGCTTGTGACTCCGCTGCTTAAATATTATTCTGCTGCTGCTGCTGCTGGTTGTTCGCGCAGCTGTTTCTTCTTCTTCTTCTTCTTCTGCTGCTGCTGCTGCTGCTGCTTCGACCTTTTATCTTCTCCTACTGCTTCGCTTTCTCCTGCCTTCTCTTTCTCCTTCTTCTTCTCTTCCTTTGGTTGTGCTTATTTGTCTTCTTCGTTGATCTTTTCTTGTATATATTCATTATTATTTCAGAAAGGGTGGCCATGGGGCCTGGGTTTTGGTTTTCCATACATTTTCATAAATATTAGGTAAATGCATCAGTGCCACAATCAAAACCAAAAACCCCTGATAAATATGCATAAAGGATAAAAAACACATAAGAAAAAGCCAAAAAGAACTAAAAACCATGGGAAAACAAAAAAACTAAAAAAACAATTCTGGAAGACTCTTGGCTGGACCCCCCAAAATCAGAAAAACCAAAAAAAAAACCTTGGGAAAAAAAAACAATTCTCAGAGACTCTTGGCTGGACCCCCTTTTCCTCAAGACTTCCCCAGAATTGTTTTTTTTTGTTTTCCCAAGGTTTTTTTGGTTTTCTGATTCTTCTGATTTTGGGGGGTCCAAGCAAGAGTCTCTCAGAATTGTTTTTGTGTTTTTTGTGTTTTCTCAAGGTTTTTTGGTTTAGCATCTGAGCTTACTTCTCACCTCAAGGCATCTGTTCTTTTTGCTTACATCTGAAACCGTCTGAGCTCAACACTTCCTTTGTCCTTGTCCAAATCTCCATATACAAGTCTGAGTGCATTAACTGCTGACTGGTATCAATGCGGTTGCCACTTGCATTTCCAAACAGCTTGACATGCAGTTGCGAGGACGCTCTGTCCTTTACATGAAACGGTTGGAAATCTTTGCGAGCGTAATTCTGTGTTTGTAGCTCAAGCGTTTACATCTTATTCTGGCGAACTTCTAATTGTAATTTCAATTCCTTTCTAATTCAACTCTCATCTAATTTCAATTAGGCTATAGTTATAGTTCAATACAAGTTTAGTTAAAATTTGGTTTTACTTCAGTTCTATCTTAGCTCTAACTCACATCCATTTTAATTCTACCTAATTCTATTCTAGCTCTAGTCTATTTAGTTTAAGAAAACACATGCTACAAAACCTCGTGTTTTACAGTATTTTTTGCCCTGGAAGTGCTGGGAACAAGACTAAAACTCTTTTTTGAAGTAAATAGTTAGATTTATTTATTGTCAGTAATCACTGGAGATAATATATACATATTAAACATGTTTTATGTACAAGCTTCTAATTCAAGAGCTTCCCTCTAGATCTCTGGGGACGATCATTTCTACAATAAAACTATATAAGCTTTCCTTTCAAAAGCTTTCCTCTGGATCTCTGGAAATGGTAATGTCAATTGAAACATGCTATATATCAATAAATAAGTCTTTCTTTCCAGAGCTTTCCTTTCATGAAGACACATATAGGGATATCTACTTTCCCAGAGATCCTGAGGAAAGCTTTGAAAATGCAAGCTCTTGCCCGCAGAAATCTAGAAGAAAGCTTTTAACATACAAGGTTTCTATATGGTTGTGTAAATCTAAACGTGATTATCTGCAGAGATCTATAAAGAATCTTTTGTAACATAAAAGAGTCTATACACAATCTTTCCAAATCTAAACATAATTATAAGCAGAGATCTAGAGGACAATTGTTAGAACGACCACTTTTATGGCCTGCTTCTTTTCTAATTATCTTGTTCAAACCATCTGAATGACTGATTGCTGCTTCCAAAACAATAAAATTATCCTGACTCAGGAATACATACGTAATATCTTTGTTCATATAGAGTGAGAGCAAGAATAGATATGTGTGTTTATATGGAGAGGGGCTGCCACTAAAGCATGTACCTAAAATTTTAGGGAAAACCAAAACCCAGGCCCCATGACCACCCGCTCTCTATTATTTTCTGTTCTTCTTCTTCTTCTTCTTCCTGTGCCTCTTCTCCTTCTTGAATTCGATATTCGGCCCCGGATGGCCGTGGCCGGCCGGCCACGACCACGGCCGGAAACCAAAGAAATCTAGTGCACCAGCTTACTATAGACACATCCACTCCATGCTAAATGATGCAAAATGCATCCGTTTCCACATTCTAGTCAGGCACTCCTATTCGTACACCGGTAAGATTTCACGCATTTCATCAAGTTTCTTGCAAAGACTTCCCCTAGGTCATACTGACTTATATCATATATCTACATTGAGTCAAACCATATAGAGAGTAATTATATAGCTTCAAGTCTTTGCCATCTCTTTCTTGAAGGGGTCGAAGAGCCAGCAGGCAACCTCAAAAAGCTTAAGTTGACTCAGTTGACATCCAATGCCAAGCATCTCATTCCGAGGCGGCGCATGAGATCAACAACGCTGCGACGTGATTCTGGGTTTACACCTTTCGGTGGGTCTGCAACAAAGCGCAGGGCGTCAGAAGGCCAACCTGCCGCAAGGCTGGCCGTCTTGAGTGGAGCCGGACGTAACAACCAAACACATCAAGAAACCACAAGAATCGAAACTTCACCTTTGCCCCTGCATGAGGCTCAGTCAGGAGGGCCTTTCATCATGGCTTTCTGTGATTCTGGTGGTCCCGACAGGACGAACTGATACCTCTTCAGTGGTTGCCAAGTCCTGACAAAAGGGATGCCAGGCGCCATATGCCCTAGAAGTCGCATCAAAACGCTAGGAAACAGGTGCAGACTATTGACTCATGGTTAATGAAAACTTGGATCCAAACCCATCTGCGGCTTGAATAAAGCGCACATCAGAGAGTCCGTCACGGATCATCTCCTCAAGCTAAGCCCATTAAGACTCATGCGGCGTGTCCGGATACTCCCAACAAGTTTGTAGGAATCTTCCTATCCACAAAATTGTACATTTAAACCGCCCTTGCCATCCATATGAAATCAAACCCGAAGGCTGCAGCGCCAAGGATCCAAAGACTCCGATGTTTCCGTAAATTCCTAGACAGGTGGCGGGTTGCAGCCTCCGTGCCATGCTTGTAGTTCATTTTCAAACCAGAAGAACTCACCACACAAAGTATCGCAGTTGCAGCCACAGTTGGTCTTCGAACTGTCCTGAGGATTTTCATTCCAATCATTTGCATCTTCCTCCCGTCGATGTTGCTCCTCTTCAATCTCGTTCTTCACACGCAGGGCAATCCGTGATAACATCCTGAGCTGGTTTGGGCAATCTTGTGGCGTCGGGTGGTCTCAACCATTGGCAAACATCTATATGTATTGGCCATTATTACTATTTTTACATATATAGATAAACATTCAAAGCAGGCCTGTCATCAAGAACGACTCTCAGGTAACACATCCGATGTGAAAGACTGCAAAATTATCCCTGGACACTTGTGGCAGAGTTAGTCAGTCATACCGTCATACCAGTTATAGTCAGTCAACTGATGTCAACATAGGTCAACCGTATGTTAACAATCAACATTGACAGCTGCTACACTAGAGAGTGTTGGCTGAGCTTGTTGTTCAAATGCACAGATCTCATCTGAAAGTGTTCATCGCAAACAAGAGGCTGGCCAACGAAGCCAGTCACTCCCGAAGAC